CTCACGAACAAGCTGTTCACTCAGCTGAGGCAAGAACACAAAAACAGAAGAGCAAGTATGATAAGATCAATCCACAGACTCAAATGCCAGTTCTCACACATACAGTTAAGAATCTTAGCGATCAAGACCTATCACCATCCGAAGTCGCTGTTCTAGTTAAGGGACACAATTTTGCTGTCACTCTCTCTAGTATCCCTACCGAAGAAATCATCAGCCAAATTGAAACGGCTATTTTCCACCTTCCTTTAAAGGCAAGCAATGACATCAGAAATCGAACAATCAACATCCTACGCAAAGCCAAACTTCCCAAACAAAATATAAACAAAGAAGAACGCCGAGCTCTCCACGGTCTGAAACGAAACAACAAGATCCTAATTTTACCAGCAGACAAAGGGAACGCTACTGTAGTTATGAACAGGGAAGACTATTGCAGTAAAATCAATAGTTTACTCTCAGACCAAAAAGTCTACAGGAAACTCAAACGCAACCCAACATTCAGCATAGAGAAAAAAACATCTTCTCTTTTGAAAAATACAGGTCTCCCTCTTCAAACTATCAAGTATTTAACCCCTCAAGATTCTTCAGCACCTAGACTCTACGGTCTTCCAAAAATCCACAAGGAATCAGTGCCCTTACGCCCTATTGTCAGCAATATTGGGGGACCTACCTACCAGTTAGCCCGCTATCTCATCAAACCCCTCCAGAAACTTACTGGTCTCAATGATTCCCATATCAAGAATTCAACGGATTTCGTGAATAAGATCACTAAAATCAAGATGAATACTGATGATATCCTGGTGAGTTTCGATGTAGTCTCACTGTTTACTAATGTTCCAGTCCAGGATACTTTGAACGTTATCAAGAAATCCGAGGAAATTCCTGCCAACCTCTTCCCACTAATAGAACACTGCTTAACTTCAATTTATTTTCAGTTCCAAGGAGAGTTTTTCGAATAAATCTGGAGCGGCGATGGGATCTTCTATATCTCCTATCATTGCAAACATCTTTATGGAACACTTTGAGAATAAAGTTTTGAGGAACGCACCACTGAAACCATCCACATGGTTTCGGTATGTTGACGATACTTTCGTAATTTGGAATCATGGCAGGAAAACTCTTTCTCAGTTTCTCGGATTTCTCAATTCATATCATCCCAGTATTCAGTTCACAATGGAAGTGGAACAAAATAATCAAATACCCTTTCTGGATGTGCTAGTCCAAAAGAACCAAGATGGCACCTTAGGTCACCAGGTCTACCGAAAACCAACACACACGGACCGATATCTACATGCAACCTCTCATCATCATCCCTCGCAAAAGAATTCTGTCATAAGTTCATTGGTTTACAGAGCGCTCACAATTTCGGAACCATCTTCTCTGAATGGAGAACTAGAACACCTCAGTACAGCCTTAACCAAAAATGGATACAACAGCAAAAACATCTCGCAAATAATAAAAAACCAGAAGAACAGAATTGTCAGTCCTAAAAACACTGACACACTAGATGAAGAGAGAGAAAAGAGAAAAACGGCTGTCCTTCCATATCTCCAGGGCATAACAGAACCTATCAGCAGGATTTTGGGTAAACACAAAATCAAAGTAATCTTCAAACCTCATAGGAAGCTCTCCCATTTACTCCCAAATCCGAAGGATCAGAAATCATGCCTAGAAACATCAGGTGTATATAAGATCCCTTGCTCTTGTGGTAAAGTTTATATAGGAGAAACCGGGAGGAAGATCAGTACGCGAATCAAGGAACACCAGCGATGTACCAAGTATGGTCATTTTACTCAATCAGCCCTAGCTGAACACTGGATGGAGACTCCATGCAATATGACAAAGCCACCAGATTGGCTCCCTCACAGAGTTATTTTGTCAAAAAACATCGTGAAGGTCTAGAAATTTTAAAACATTCCAACAACCTCAACCGAGACAAAGGTATGCAAGTAAACTCTATTTGGCATACTGCCCTCCCG